GTGGTGCCGACTCACAACATTCACAGTGCATTTCTGCCCCGTTAGTCATATTTCATTATATGCACCTATTGTTTGGGGGAGGGGTTTCACAAAAGTGAATGAGTTCTCATATTGGAAAATTATTTAATCGTCCCCAATCAATCTAATTATCACATAATAACCATTCAAATCAAAATAATAACCAAACAAATAAAAGACCCGCTTTCTTAGCCCTTACTGGTTAAAGGCAGGCAACAAACCGAATCAAGGATCTTAAATCGAATAAATTAAATGACCCGCTCTTGCCTCTATATGGTTTCAAGGCGGGTAAACAAACCGAACTTTAAATACATTCTAGCCGATTAAAAAAATTATAAACCTATACCGAAAAACCCAAAAAATCATGCATATTTATTATTTAACACTAAAAATCACATTTTTATTATTATTTCTATTTAATTCTACAAACATTGCAAATTATTCATAAATCCCAAATTTAATTTCATTTCTTAATTTTAAGCGAGAAAAATTGTAAAATTCATACAAATAACACATAACAAATCACATTTTTAGTATTCTAAGCTTAATTAACTGTTGATCTGTTCAAATTGGCATTTTTTTCACGATTTTATTGAAGAAATTAACTCTGGAATGCTTAGAACCAGTTTTGTGTCACACAGCTAACATAATTGTGGTGACGCAGCTGTTTTTCCTTGGATGAACAGTTGCGTGATGCAGCTGCTTTTTGGCCCAAGCTCGTTTTCAAACGCTTTATTTTAGATCAATTTTTTATTTAAATGTGGATTTAAAAAGACATATATTAATGGCCCTAATATGAACAGAATACAATTTAAAGAAGCTTAAATTACTAAAACACAAAAAAGTAATGTAAAAAATCAAAAGTGTTAAAGGAAATTAACCTAATCTCTCAAGATTGAGGATTTTGTGAATTGGATCAAATGTCTTACCAAGGTGATAGTTTAAGGATCTCGCAAGAAGCTTAATTTTCCAAGGATTCAGTGTTCTTTGTTATCTTTTGCTATTTTCTTCTTTTTTATGGTTTGATTCACCTAAAAATTGAATCTCAATGGCAATTTTCCTTCCAACTCAACTTCACAAGAGTTTTCTTGGACGGAAGAATGTGGCCGCAGGGTTGTGTTTTTTCCAGGTTCAAAAATCGTTATCCTTTTTGGAATGTGAGAAAAGAGGAATATATTTATAGAGGTAGGTCAGGACAACAGCGTGCGGTGATGGCCAGCTTATTTTCCATAGCTTGCGTAACGCAGCTATAAGCTTTGCGTGACGTAGCTTGCTCTTTATAGCGTGCGTGACAGTAGCTTGCTTTATAGCTGTGTGACCGCAGCTATGGCTCAGCCAACTATTCCAACCATCCATTTTTAATTTAAAAATCCTTGGGAATTTAAAAGACTTCTACGATAGCACTTAACCCATTCATTTTGCATCCCGTATCCTCATCGGATCAGGTGGGGGGGCCATAAAAAACACGCGTCGGCCAGTCCTTATCATTCCAACCGAATATGGACTATTTGGAAGGTTATGAGTTGCTAGCTTATTCTTGGATTATATAGTTAAGAAGTTTTTTGATTTAAAAGTTGGATTGTGATGTGGTAATAAGCTTAAGGTTTTTACTGTATCTTTGTTTTCAATAAGTTTTTTAACAGGTATGGTTTATTTTAATGATTATTGGGTTTATTTTTCAAAACTATTTTTTAATTTAAATCCTTGGATTAAAAGACTTCTAGATAGCATTAACCCATTCATTTTGCATCCTCGTATCCTCATCGGATCAGGTGGGGGGCATAAAAACACGCGTCGGCAGTCTTACATTCCAGAATATGGACTATTTGAGTTATGAGTTGCTAGTTTATTCTTGGATTATAGTTAAAAGTTTTTTGATTTAAGTTGGATTGTGATTGTAATAAGCTTAAGGTTTTTACTTAATCTTTGTTTTCAAAGTTTTTAACAGGTATGGTTTATTTTAATGATTATTGGGTTTATTTCAAACTATTTTGAATATATTGAATTATTTGAAAACATATGAGGATTTGGTAACCTGTGCAAGACTTGATTTAAGTTTATTTTGCATATATTAAATGTTAACATGTTTTGAGTTGTTAGGGTTCACCAGATTGTGAAGTTGGTTATCAAATTCAAATGCTCTATAAACTGAGAAAATTCTTCCAGTTTTTCTACAGGATTACCTTAATTATTTTCTAAAATTTTATGGGCTAGTAAATTTTGTATAAACTATATTTATACTAGTTTATTAAAAATAATGATTATTCATAACTAGAATCGTGCTTTGGTGCCTTTGGCACTGCAGTGTGGCATCCATTATCTAATCCTACAAGATTGGAAATTGAGTGTTACATTTAGTGGCATCAGAGCGCCGGTTTGAGTCTTTTGATTAAAATGATTTTTATACGAGTCTTTGTTTTAATGATTTTAAATGATATGATTTCATTATGCAGAGCAACTGCCACTTAAATATATGGAAGACTTGGATTGCTGCAAACCCAAGAAGATGGGGCACGGTTGTGCCATTTCCAGCATGCTCGTGCCAGTCTCTGGAAGTCCAGGATGCGAAACACGCCCAAGCCTAAGAAGCACAAGCACACCCGCATCATAGTCAGCCTGCCCGTGCTAGCCTCTAGAAGTCCAAGCATGCCCGTGACATGTCAAACACGGCCGTGCCGACGAGTCTAGTTACGATTCGAGTGCTGGCATGACCATGTCATGCCAAGCATGCCTGTGCTAGCTGCTGGAAGTCCAAGCACGCTCGTGCCACCGACCTTGTTAGGGTTTTGTCTAGTTACGACTTTTGTGTTATTTTTTAGGGTTTTTATGTGATTAGCCTAAACCTATAAATAGGTTATGTGTGTTATGAGCAAAGGCATCATCATGAGATCATTATTCACATTCAATAAACTTCTTTGAAAGTTTAGTTCTCTATTTTATTCATCAGATCAAACGTCATTAATCAAAACTCCTGACGGAGTATAATCGTTATTCCCATTCACATAACTGTTCTGCGTCAATTAGTATCAGAGCTGAAATGCAAAGTATCTCCATGGCCGACAATCATGAGGCACGACTCACAGCCATAGAGGTGAAGTTCGAAGGGTTAATTGAAAAGATTAGACAGTTGACTATCGCAATTCAACAAGGCAACCCACAACTCGTAACTGCAACAGCAATTCTGAATCAAAAGAAACCAAATTATGCAAGATGCCAAAATCGTTATGATGGAGACCGAGATTACAGAGGGAATGGTGACAATTTTCATGACGGATACAAGATAAAGGTAGATCTTCAACCTTTCTCAAGATCGTTAGATATAAAAAGCACTCTTGACTGCCTAGCGGAGGTCCAACGATTCTTTGAGATCATGAACATCGAGCATGAACGTAAAGTTTCCATTATGGCCTATAAACTAAAAGGCAATGTAGTAGCATGGTGGCATTCTATTCAAACGAATGCCATAGTCGAAGGATTGAACCTGTGCAAGACTGGGTTTTAATGAAACAGTTGATTGAACAACGTTTTCTTCCCAGTGATCACTCTCAAATATTGTACAACAAGTACCATGATTGTTTCCAGGGAAATCGAAAGGTTGACAAGTACATGAAAGAGTTCTTGAGATTGCAGGCACGATGCAACAATTGTGAAACTAAATCCCCGCAAGTGGCTCATTATCAGAGGGGATTGAATCATGATATAATGTGTATGATGGGTGTAACTATGATTTTCACCTTGGCAAACGTGTAAAAGATAGAATTAATTGGCAGTCGCGACAATCACCTGATCGTAACTAGAATTTTAGGCAACCCTATTCATTTGAAAATCAGCAGTTCAATAGAAATTCTGGTGGACAGAATTTAAGAGCAGCAACTCTTGCTAAGAACCAGGGTTCACCACAGCTCACCATAGAAGAAAAGAAAGACTCCTCGGGAAAGGTTCCCATGACAGACATAAATAACAAACCAAATCCGTATCAGAAATCAACTGAGAATACTGTTACTGATGTAGAAAATAGGGCATACATCTAATATATATCTAGAACATAGGGGGCTAATGATGGACGTCGTGAGGTGAACGTAGTCGATGAGGTGACTGAGGCTGAGGAGGTAGAAGATGAAGAGGATGGATCCATGGCTAGTTCAGAAGATGGTGAGGTCACATACGTTGTTCAGAAAATTTTGTGCTCCACAAAATAAGAACACAAAACTCAATAGAGAAAAATTTTCCAAGCTAAATGTTGGGTGGGTGAAGCAGTGTGCCAACTCATTATCGACAGTTGTAACTATGAAAATTTGATAGCCAAGCAATTGGTTGAGAAGCTCAATTGGCCCACAGAACCACATCGTTCGCCGTACAAGGGAGGGTGGATTAAGGAGGGTCCAACGATTGAAGTAAACCAGATTTGCAAAATTCCTATCTCAATGGGAAAGTCGTACACAAATTCCATTAGCTGTGATGTTGTGGATATGGATGCTTATGGAGAAGATGCATTGCATAAGGGAAGAGAGAATTCACCTGTTCGCTTGGAAAAATAAGAAAATCATTGTCTACCTTCTAGATCTTCTACCAAAGCTTCTAAAGTGGAGGGGAAATCCATAGTAGCTATTTCTTCCAATGTGCAACAATGATCTAGTGCAATTGAGAACTCCGGAGGTGCGTTAGCTTTGTTGATCAAATCGGAAGTAGATTTTGATACAAGGGCACTAGTACCACCACCTGTAAAGGAGTTGTTAGATGAATTCCATACTTTAGTTGAAGAACTATCTTCCCTTCAAACTTTGTAGGACATCCAACATCAGATTGATTTCATCCCTGGATCGACGATACCGAACCTGCACCATTATAAGATGAACCTAAAGGAGAGCCAGATTCTTCAAGAATAGGTAGAAGAATTATTAAAGAAGGGATATATCCGAGAAAGCATTAGTCCTTGTGGAGTTCCTACTTTATTGGTACCAAAGAAGGATGGAACTTGGAGAATGTGTGTGGATAGTCGAGCCGTCAACAAGATCACAATACAGTATCAATTTCCTATTCCTCATCTGGAGGACATGTTGGACCAATTATCAGGATCTACCGCTGTCTCCAAAATAGACCTTCGCAGCGGGTATCATCAAATTCGGATCAAGGAGGGAGATGAATGGAAGACTGCATTTAAGACTAAGGAAGGGTTATACGAGTAGTTAGTTATTTTGTTTGGTTTGACTAATGCACTGAGCACATTCATGTGACTTATGAATCAGGTTTTGCGCCTTTTCTTGCTCAAATTTGTGGTTGTTTACTTTGATGACATCTTGATTTTCAGTCGCAGCAAGAAAGAACACCTTCAGCACCTTCCACAGGTGTTAGACTCTTTGTAGAAAAATGAGTTGTACATCAATCTTAAGAAGTGTAGTTTTATGACAAAGTGTAGTTTTGTTTCTTGGCTATATTGTTAGCTCGGAAGGAATTCATATTGATGATAAAAAAATTGAGGCCATCCGAAACTGGCCTATTCCTAAGAACATAACTGAAGTTCGCAATTCTCATGGTCTTGCTACTTTATATAGGCGGTTCATCAGGAACTTTAGCAACATTGTCGCTCCTATCACCAATTGTTTAAAGAAAGAGAGAGTTCGTTAATTTGTGTGGACCAAAGATGCAAATAAAAGCTTTGAAGAAATTAAAGATAAGCTTACTTCCACCCCTATTCTTACTTTACCTGATTTTGATAAATTGTTTGAAGTAGATTACGATGCTTGTGGGATCGAAATTGGTGGTGTTTTATCTCAATTTGGAAAGCCTATTGCATTCTTTAGTGAGAAATTGAATGAAGCTAGACAGAGGTGGTCTACTTATGTACAAGAGTTGTATGTAGTTTTTCGAGCTTTTAAAACATGGGAACATTAATTGTTGGGGTGTGAGTTCATTATTTACACTAATCATCAAGCTTTAACTCATTTTCAAACTCAGAAGAAAGTGAGCAAGATGCGTGCGCATTGGGCAACTTACTTTGGTGCCTTTCATTATGTCATTAAGCACAAATCGGGTACTTGTAACACGGTAGCAGATGCTTTGAGTAGGAGAGCAGCTTTGTTGATTACAATTAGACAGGAGATTGTGGGGTTTGAATTTCTTAAAGATCTTTATGCTTCGGATGATGATTTTGCTGACATATGGGCTAAAATTAATGCTAAACAGCCTGCCGATGGTTTCTTAGTACATGACGGGTATCTCTTTAAAGAAAATAGGCTATGCATCCGACGGTCTTGCCACCGGGAAAAGTTAATCCGAGAAATCCATGGTGGAGGATTAAGTGGACATCAGGGATGGGAAAAAACTATTGCGGGTTAGAGGCCCGATTTTATTGGTCATAATTGAAGAAGGAAGCAGGGAAGCTAGTACATAAATGTTCAGCTTGCCAGACACAGAAGAAGCTTGTTTCCAAAAATATTGGGCCATTTTAGATACTTAAGAAGATTAATGATAATGCCTATGTTCTTGACCTGCCCCGAAGACATGAAGATTTTCAGGACTTTCAATGTTGCTGATTTATTCCCTTTCTATCCCGATAATGATCACTCGAGATCGAGTTCTTTTGAAGTGGAGGGGATTGATGTGGAGCAACTGGCACTTAAATATATGGAAGACTTGGATCGCTGCAAACCAAAGAAGAAGAGGCACGGCCGTGCCAGTCTCTGAAAGTCCAAGACGCGAGACACACCCAAGCCTAAGAAGCACAAGCACACCCGTGTCACAATCAGCCTGCCCATGCTAGCCTTTGGAAGTCTAAGCACGCCAGTGCCATGTCAAGGACGCTTGTGCCGACGAGTCTAGTTACGATTCGAGTGCTGGCACGCCCATGTCATACCAAGCACTCTGGTGCTAATCTCTGGAAGTCCACGCACGCCCGTGCCGCTGACCTTGCTAGGGTTTTGTCCAGTTGCAACTTTTGTGTTATTTTCTAGGGTTTTTATGTGATTAGCCTAAACCTATAAATAGATTATGTGTATTATGAGCAAAGGCATCATCATTAGATCATTATTCACATTCAATAAACTTCTTTGAAAGTTTACTTCTCTTTGTTATTCGTCAGATCAAACGTCATTGATCAAAACTCCTGACAGAATATAATCGTTATTCCCATTCATGTAACCGTTTTGCGTCATTTCAGATTTGAGCTTTTTTTTTTAGGGGGGTAAAATGGTATAGGGAAAGTATAAGAGTGAGTAAAAGGACATGCTTAATAAGTTTAGACTAGAACTTCACTCTGTTAAGGATCTTACAGTTTGTAGGTTCATTATGTCATCTAGATCTCAGCATACACAGGATGAGAAGGTTAACAGTTATGCTCCTCCTAGTGGTGCTGAGGGTGGTGTTATAAGCTTGGGTGGAGAGTGTGGTGCTATCGCAGCTTCAACTGCAGGACAGGCAGTTGCTGGTTTGGCTATGCCTAGTCAGGATGCATTTCTTCAGTAGGTAGCTGAGATGCTTAGACAAGTTGCTGGTCAGGCTCTAGTAGGTTATGTTACTCGACCCCCTCTTGAGACTGCATAAGTATGGTGTAGTGGATTTTATGCGTAAGAATGAGGATGATGTTGCTGCTGCAGAGTATTGGTTAGAGAGTACTTAGAGGGTGTTGGATCAGTTACAATGTACCCCAGCAGATAGATTAGTGTGTGCTACTTCCTTACTAAAGGAAGAAGCCTACCAATGGTGGGATATTGTGTCTAGTGCTGCCAGGGTAGAACAGAGGACTTGGGATTATTTTCTAACAGAGTCTAGAAAGTAGTATATTGGAGAGTTATTCGCTGAGAATATGAAGAAAGAGCTTATGGATTTAACTCAGGGTAGGAGAATAATGAGTGAGTATGAGCGAGATTTCATTAGGCTCAGCAGGTATGCTAGAGAGCTAGTTCCTACAAAGGCAAAGATATGTAAGAAGTACACCAAGGGTTTGCATAATGAGATTAAAATGCAGCTTACAGCTCATCCTATCACAGAGTTTCCAGCTTTGGTGACTGCAGCTTTGGGACTTGAGCAGGTTCAAATTGAGGAACAAAGGAGGAAACAGCGCATTCAGAATTAGAGGTTTCATAGCACAACTTCTAGTCAGTCTACTGTTTATTAGTTAGGCAATAAGAAGCAGAGAGGTTCTCAATTATCTGGGCGCAGATAGGGTCCGAGGCAAAGTCATGGTCCTACTACTAGACGAACTCCGTAGACCACCTCAGTTGGTAGTGCTGGCGGTGGTGCTAGGGTTAATATGCTAGTTTGTGAATCTTGTGGTAGACAATATGGTGGAGTTTGTTGGAAGGCTATAGGAGCATGCCTTAGATGTGGGTCTATAGACCATTATGCTAGAGATTGTCCTAAAGGATAGTAGACTGCTAGATCAACTCCAGTTGATTCTCAGGGTAGAGGTAGAGGTAGATCTGATGTTGCTAATACTAAAGGTCAGAGGTTAGCTTCTGAGAAAGGGGACAGACCTGAGACTAGAACGCCAGCAAGAGCATATGCTTGTGAATACTCAAATTTTGAGGCTCAAAGAGCCATTTTTCCGGACTGCAAACAGTCCGGTCGGACCGGAGGTCATTCAAAAAGTTCACCGGAACTAAAGTCAGAGGTTAGCTTTCTGAGAAAGCAGAGGCACCTGAGACTAGAGACCGCGCGCAAGAGCATAATGCTCTGTGAAATACTCAAATTTTGAGGCTCAAAGAGCCATTTTTTCCGGACTGGCAAACAGGCAAACAGTCCGGTCGGACCGGAGGTCATTCAAAAAGTTCACCGGAAGTGTGCCAATATGGTACTTGAAATGTCTGAAAAATTACGAGGATTACGGAACTGGTCTCGAAATATTTTTTGGAGGTCCGGAACTCCCGGAAAAGCCTCTGGAACGAAAAAAGAAAAAAAAGAGGGGAAAAGGCACACATGCCCGCCCGCGGGGGTGGGCATGCCCGCCCAGCTAGTGCGGGCACGCCCGCCCAAGCCAGGCGGGCAGGGGCGCCCGGGGTCACGTTTTTTCCTATAAAAAACGGCTCTGGGGCTCCGTTTTGACTCACGCAGTCTGTGTTGACGGACGTTGGACGGACGCTCCTTCTTCCCCTACGCTCTTTGCGATTCTTTACTGCTTTCTTGCATTTTTTTTAATTTTAGTTTTTATTTTATTGTTGTGATACTTGTCCACTAAAAATTAAATTAAAATTAATTCCGCCTTAACGAGGAGCTTAAGCCTGGCAGTTAAGAAGCGGTCAACGATTAAATCAGGTACAATGAACTAAACTCTGCCTATTTAATTTTAGCACACTTCATGCATGCTATACTTTTCTACTCCTAATAATTCTACAACTGCATAAATGCAGTCCATGTCTCATTAGGGCGCAAAACAAATTGCTATCAATTAAATAAAATTTTTTAGGCTAAATGCCGGTTAATTAATAATCGTGGGTAACTAGAGCTTAAAATCCGACAATATTGGCTTAAATATCTAGTCTATCAATGGCTATGGTATTGATTGCCTTATTTCGAGGAACAATTTTTTCGGGCTTAAGTCCAATTAATCAATGATTGTGGCTAAATAGGGGCCTGTAAATTTAAATCACGTTTCCTTGCAATGAAATGCCTAAATTGCAAAACCAAGTTAATCCAACTTTCGTGGTAACACAAATTGCCTAATAAGTGAGAATTAATCTTTTTTTAGCGACAAATCGCTTTAAATCAGTAATTTTGGCTAAGAAGCCTTCAAATAATCACTCTTTTTGGCTAAAAAGCCTTAAAATCAATCATTTGACGACAAATCGCCTAAATCAAATCATTTTGGCAATCAAATTGCCTAAATCACTCTTTTTGGCTTAAAAAAGCCCTTAAATCAATCATTTTGGCGAACAATCGCGCCATCAAACATCAATTTTGGGCAATTTAAAAATTGCCCTAAATCAATATCTTTGGCTTTAAAGCTTTCAAATTATCACTTTGGCGACAAGTCGCGCTTAAATCAACATTTTTTTGCACAATTGCCTAAATCAAATTCTTTTTGGCTAAAAGCCTTAAAATCAACACTTTTTGGCAACAAATGCCTAATCAAATCAATCAATTCTTTGGGGCAAAATGCCTAAAACAACATGCACAAAGCATACACACCACTCATGCAAAAGCACCTTCATTCAAAAGCCCTTAAAAGAGGCCTATCGAACCTAAACGTTGACGTTTGTCTCTTCCCATTTTTCAAACGGAAGTACGTAGGCACGTTAGGGATTTAACCCGAGCGGTTCAATCAAAATCAGCCATAAACATTTTTCTGGTCCCCCATACATTCATCGTTAACCCTACAAAGCCATTCGTCTTTGGTTAGTTCATCATCATGACATAGGTCTCGGATCCTACCTCGGGTTCGTAGACAATGCCTTCAACATTTGGGATAATTAATCTAGTAACTAGGTTATTACACACATTGGAGTCACCTTAGGGTTTTTCCTAGTTTACCCTAAAACAATTTAAAACAAGGTGGCGACTCCATTACATTCAATTCGGACCTCCGAAAAAATATTCCGGGACCAGTTCCGCGATCCTCGCGACGCCCCGGACGTTTCAAGTACCATATTGGCGTACTTCCGGTGAACTTCCAAAATGGCATCCGGTCCGGCCGGACCGCTTGCAGTCCGAAAAAAAGGCTTTTTCGGGAGTTCTAGACCTCCGAAAATTATTCCGGGACCAGTTCTACGATCCTCGTAATTTTTCGGACGTTTTAAGTACCATATTGGTATACTTCCAAACTTAAGTGACAAATTTGATTAAGACATTTAAATTTGTTGATCTATTTGCACGATTGAGAATCTTTTTTTCTCCATTGCATAAAAAAATGAATTTCAAATGAATTTCTTCTCTCTCTGTTCAAACTTCCTGTTTCAAAAACTTCTGAGTCTGGATAGCAAGTAGCGCCTGGATCGGGCAGGTCTCTTTGAATTATTGTCGAACAGACGCCAATAGCGTCCTGCCCTGTTACCATGGCGCTGATACGTGCAGAACACCGTCCGCCTAATCTTTTGGGGTGGCCGCCATGGGTAATGCGTACCGTTGGACCCACGCGAAACTCTTTGTTTCACATGTGGTTAGGTATATCCATGCTCAAGGCTCAAGGGTCCCTTTATAAACCGATTCTCTATTCGTGTCATAGCCTATAGAACCTGCCCTCTAGGACTGTATGCACCTGTATGCACCCAATGATGTGAATCATAAACAGATTATGGTGTGTTGTTGTGCGCATTCATGGCATATCATAAACATTTGGGTAAACACAAAGAGAGCAGAAAACACCTTTTATCTTCAATCACGCACAGTTGGACAAAGAGTCAATC